GGGGCTACTCACTCCTGAAATCATGGGGCCGCTCGTGATTAAATCAATTCGCAATTACCTGTAATCATTGAATTCACCTAAATCACTGAAATCAAGGGATTTCAAAGCTCCGACATTATCCTCTACATAAAAAAAAAATCAATTTGAGACTTATGAAAGTCTGAAATGGAGACTCGAAAATCTTAAATCTGAGAAGTCACACCAATCATTCAAGAAATCACAGGAAATCATTCCACTCTGGAAATCACTAAGCCACTCTATTGAGGAGTGACCAGCCCTCGATTTAAAGTAGCTCTACCCTTGCGGTAAATTCAAAGATTATTGAAAACTGCAAAAAAATTGCAGAAAACTCGATTAGATTTGAAATTCTAATTTTTTTCTTAATTTAATGATCGTTTTGGTTTTTCAAAGAAGAAATATTTAAAATTCAGGATTTAACCCAGTGTCTTATGTGAAAATCAATCTGAATTTTTTTTCGTTAGATGTGAAAAAATCAAGAATTTTTTTGACACCTCTAAAAAAATAATCCACACTTTTGCAAACAAGTTTTATTATTTATTGATAAGAGGGAAATGTTTGAAAAAATATCAATATTTTGCGAAATTTAATTTAGATAATACTGACTGGGTATGAATTTTTTCAATTTTTTTTCATACAATTTAGTTGAAAAATTTAAACACTGAAAATATCCAAAAGTACAGCGTAGCCCGGCCGAAGGGTAGAGCTACTTTAAACCCTTTGAAGCCTCAAGTTGAGACTTTTGAATGTCTCAAGTTAATAATTGAAGTTTCCAAGTAAGACTTTTAGGAGGCTATAAGTTAGATTTTCAAGTCTCAAATTGTCACTTTGAAAACTCTCAACTTGCGACTTTCAGAAGGATCAAATGAAGATTTTAAAATCTCAAGTTGAGACTTCCGAAAGTCTCAATTTAAGATCTTTACAATCTCAAAATAAGGATTTTTTCTGGGTGTTAGCTATCCCTGAAATCATGCAGAAGTCGTCTGAAATCAATGAATTTAATCGAAGTCAGTGGGCCCGAAACCAGAAATTTCTGATGTAATGCAAATCGTGTGAGTAATTTGGAATTTTAAATTTGTTTGGAATCAGCTGTGCAAATTCAGCAAAACGTCGCATCTTTTGACAATTTAATCAACGTTGTTATTATTTTCTCTACACTGAGAGAAAAATCGACATAATATGGCACAAATATCTTCTTGAGTGGAGAACATCGCGTGCATATTCGATCATTCATGGTAGGTTTCAGACAAGACGATACTGCATGAATGAATGAAAAAATGATATTTTTTTCTGGAAATTAGAAAATATTCCTGAAGAGGTAAAGTAAGTTTGAGAGAAGGAAAAGATATTATGGCTTCTTTTCAAACTCATTGGGATTGAGAGCAAGAGAGGGTTATATTTTAGAAATATCTGAAGGTTCTCTCCTGTATAAATTCTGTATTCATTCAATATGAAAGTCTCTATTTCTAGTAATTTTATATATTAGTAATTTAGATATTTTTAGTTATTTTCTTATCTTTTGAGACGAAATTAACGATTTCTGGCGGCAAGAAATTGTCACTTTATTGCCGAGTGTTAGTGTTCAAGTCATGAACATTTCGCAGAATTCTTCCACGGTCTGGCTCATTATACGGAATTCTTATTCCAAACGTTTCATCCTCAAGAGATGAGATATTTGACGCAAGGAATTAGTTTTGTGATATGTCGATATTTATCTCAGTGCAAATTCCCTGATTCGTCACCTTGATTAAACTTTATACATCACGATTTCGATGGCTTCAGTTTCTCTCAAATCATCTATTTCGAATTGATGGAATCGTTCCAAGTCAACTCATACAATTCGTGTCTTCTACCATAAATTGGCGAAATTTAGCATCTTTTGACAATTGAATCAACATTGTTGTTATGTTCTCCAAATCCCCTGACCCTTCACCTTCACGTATGAAAAAATTTGAATTGTTTGCTCAAATACTGCATTTACTGTGAATTTTTTAGAGTCGTAAGTTCCAAAAATCTGACCTTTACAGAACAGTATTAGGAAATTATTACTGCATGCCGAATTGTTCTTTATGCAGTTAGTGATATTTGATGGTGAAAGTGGAATTGACATGAGGATGTGTTACACTGAGAGAAAAACAAACACGTTGTCAAACAAGTCTTGGTTGGGCCAACAAAATCGCTAGTTGAAAATTGCCAAAAAAGANTCGACAGCAACGAAATATTTGGCTCAAGAGGCGGATAATTCACACCAGACGGTGCCTTTTCAGGATGAAAATATCTCACATAGAGGAAAATTTATCAACAAATATTTTATCCCTAAGTTACAAGATTGCTATCATATCATTATTATTGTTTCATTTAAGGATTCATTTCTTGTTTGTGATTATTAGACAGCCGAAATGAAAAACTACTAGCCCTTGTTCCGCATTACAAAGATTTTTCGGGAGCAAAATACGTTTGGACGTATCGAATAACGAAGGAGTAGTGCTATAATAGTTATTTCTTGTGTGTACTGAGAATGCATTTTTTTTAACTACTAAATCTATTTTTGCGACAAAAATTTTTCATTCCGGCACACTCTCTGCATGTTAGACACAAAATAGTATANAGTGATATAATCCCACGAGCTAAAAAACATTTTTTCACGAGTTACGAACAATATTTTTCATCACAATGTGGCGGAAATTGGCCTTTTAGGCACGCGGAACGTGCCAAAAAGTTCACTTTTCGTCACAGCGTGATGAAAAAACCCTTTTTTGATCATTTTCAAAAAACGATTTTCTTGGCACAAGTAAGACTTGTTTGAGAACTTTATCGTTTTTCTCTCAGTGTAGGAATGAGGAGACATGGAGATGTGGAGACTTTGGAAGAATCACTCACTTTAACACTTACTATGAATAGAAAACCTAGCGAATTGGCAAGAAAATTCTATTGGAATTCTATAGGAATTCTATGGGGTTTCTATAGGATTTCTATTGTAATTCTATTGAAAAATTCTATTTGTGTTTTGCGTTGATTGTATTGGATATTCGATAAGAAAAAGTCAATAGATTTCGAATTTCTATTTTAATTTTTCTCTTGAGATTTTTTCTATAAGAATGTTTGGGAATCAATTTTTTAAGTTTTTTCCACTCGGATTCTGCAATGCAAAACAAAATAAAATCCCGTGGAAAAAACTAGGAAATTTTTTGCCCAATAATTGTAATGGAATAAATATCAAGAGAAAAATTTGAAGAAAAATTCAAAATCTATTGACTTTTTCCAATTAAAAATGCAATAGAATCAGCGCAAAAAACAAATAAAATTTGTCAACAGAATTCCAATAGAAATCCTATAGAAACCCCCATAGAATTCCTATAGAATTCCAATAGAATTTTCTAGCGGATTCGCTAGGTTTTCTATTGAATTTTTTCATGCGTGTTAATTAAACTTTATAGACACTGATTTCGATGACTTCAATTTCTCTGAAATCCTTGATTTCGAATTGATGGAATAATTCCATGTCGACTGCAGTTATAAAATCATATTGCGTGATACTTAAAATCGTTGCAATCTTACCTTCCTGAAATCACTGAAATCAACTCTGTAATCACAAATATCAAACGTATGCCAAAGGTATTTTCATCGATAGAAAAAGTCGTCACCTAATTTTCCCTCATCATACCCCGATTGACTCCCCACGCACGAAAAAAGTTAATACAAAAACCTATCGAATTCGTTAGAAAATTCTATTAAATTTCTATTAAATTTTCTATTAGTTTTTGGCTGATTCTATTGACATGTTCAATAGAAAACATTCAATAGAAAAAGTCAACAGAATTCGATTTTTCTATATAACTTATTCTTTTCATATATTTTCTATAGAATTTGCTCGACTCAAATTTTCTAAGTTTTTTTCACTCTATTTTTCTTTTCTTCTCACCAAGAAAATCAAACAAAAAAACTTAGAATATTTGAGCTGAGGAAATTCTATAGAAAGTATCTCAATAGAATAAGTTATACAGAAAAATTGAATTCTATGGACTTTTTTTACTGAATATTTGCTATTGAACATTTCAATAGAATCGGCCAAAAACTAATAGAACAGTTCAATAGAAATTCAACAGAATTTTCTAACGAATTCGATAGATTTTTCTATTAAATTTTTTCGTTCGTGCCCCCATCGAAGATCACTTGCATACATCCAAAGAAACTTCCATAACAACTCTCGAACACAATTGAAAGTCACGGCCATACATCAACGGCAGCTTTACTTTCAGGATCATCAGCGCCCTAATTTTGTGGCAAGATTATAACTATTCATGACATGGCATGGCCGTCATATTCTCATTATTTATAGAATGTACAGCAATATATATATTACGTATGAATAATAATTTTAATCTATGAAATGAACAAATTATCAATACGAATTGATAAAAATATGAGAACAAATTTACATCCACCATTGATTCCAATTTTCTCGTTATAACTGGCATTTTCAACTATTATACATCGAGAAAGTGTATAAAATTTACAAAAAAATTTGTTCCTCTAGACTCGATTTTGATTGATGAATCCTTCGAGTTCGATTCCGTCGCCAATACATAAGCAGATTCCTTTGTTAATAGATATGTCTAGACAGATTTCTTCGGTTCATTGAAGGAGTAGTTTCATTCACTCTTCGTTCGACTGTCCTTTCCCTATTTTCACGAATCCCTCCATCCGAGAAGATGTTCCATTGTCGATATGTATCATAAGCTATCGCATTTCATTCCCAGATGTGCATTTTTTCTCGTGCAGATTGGGGAATGTTACAAGGGAATTCATCCAAAAATAACCGAAGATAATTCAGAAATGAGGAGTAGACAAGACAGACAGTCTCAATTTCTGTTCTAATCATTTTGTTTTTACATATAAACTCAAGCTGACTCGAAGCCCTTTGACTAGCTCTGATATGTACCATAATTGCCTCAAATCATTGCCATTTTCTTTACGTTACGACCCTAAAAAAAATTCTGTTATGTTCACTTTCGTTCACCCCAACCGGCGCTATTGTAAAACCACGAAGAGGTATTTTCGTCCCGTGTTTTGCTCCACGTATTGTCGAGACTACCAGCTCCAGTATCCTGCAATAATTTTGAATATGAGATTTGCATTGAAAGAGTGCTATTAGTTCAATATTTACATTTCATAGTTTTTGGCCGATTCTACTGAAATGTTCAATAAAAAATATACAATAGAAAAAGTTAATAGAATTCGATTTTTCTATACGACTTATTCTATTGAGATATTTTCTGTAGAATTTTCTCGGCTCAAATTTTCCAATTTTTTTGTTTGATTTTCTTAATGAGAAGAAAAGAAAAATAGAATGATAAAAACAGAAAATTTGAGCCGAGGAAATTCTATAGAAAATATCTCAATAGAATAAGTTATATAGAAAAATCTAGTTCTATTGACTTTTTCTATTGAATTTTTTCAATCGAACATTCTAGTAGAATCGACCAAAAACTAATAGACAATTCAATTTTTTTTTTTATATATTTTTTTTTATATTAAATTTTTTCGTCCGTGTGGTGAGACAGGATTTTTTGGCGTCGATTTTTTGGTGCCGCGTGATCAATAACAAAACTTGAATATCTTAAAAAAAACATTTTTGTCATTCATGCCCGTTAAGTGGCGTTTTCGTGGTGTTTTTTAGAACCCGTAAGTGGGATTTACCAGGGGGCCTATTCTCGAAATATTTCCGTGCACGGAAGTGGCTTCGTAGACGAATTGCGTATAGGAATCATATAGGCGTTCCGTCAACGGAGTCGATTCAGCGCACGGAAATATTTCGAGAATAGCCCCCCAGGCCATGGGCCGGTAAGTAAAAACTAGCCCCGATTTCACGATTTACGGGCCATGGCCTGTTAAGTAAGACGTGAAGTGAGTCCCTCTTACACTATAGCTCGTGCGGCTGAACTATAGATTGCCACCAAAACCCAAAATTCACGAGGAAAATCGTAACAAATTCCGTTAAACAAAAGAGCGAAATTAATTTCATTATACCCGACAGTGACGAAGAGGAGTCACAAGACATTTTTNCCCCCCCCCCCACACCCCCGGGCATTCATGACAAAAAATAGTATGTGCCACTCAGCCCGTAGACAAATAACTATTTCATATTTTAGTGAAAAGAATTATTATTATTTCAAACGATCAATTTTTTGTTTTCCATTTTTTTATATTCTATACTTTCTATACAGGTATATTTATACACTCATGTATTTTCTCATGGACGCAATAGGAAACTTGCATGAAATTTTCTCAATTTTCTAATCTCAAGTTTGGCACCTGAATGATTTATTTGTCATTTACAAACGTTTGAAATATTGCTCATTAATTAATAATTAATTGTTAAGAGTTGAAGATTTGAAATTGCTAATGACGTCACGCAGACGGTCGAGCGCTGGACCAATCACAGAATAGCTCGAGAGGACCTAACCTAATCTTGAGGTGCGCCTCGGCCAATGAAGGACAACTCCCCACTCTCTTCTCTTTCGACCAATGAAGCGTTATCTGACCGTCTTCGTGACGTCTGGCCAAAAAATTGGCCTCGAAAACCGCTGATTTTCAATTAATTATCCCAAGACATCTGGGCAATATTTCTCCATAATTTTCGCTGTTTAGCTATCCATACGTCCCGACGGATGAGTGAATACGGGAATTAGAAAGAATTGAGCTTTATGAAAGTTCCCTATTGGCGAAAAGTTTCAACAAACTACTGCATTAATTTTTTTCTCTATCAATTTTTTTAAAATTCATCTAACACAATAGATAACAATATTTTAAGTCTCATTAATTTGTTTTTTCATCACCGTCTGCGATTCAATTATTAAAGAAGTTCTTTCATATGCGCCAAATTACTACAGTGGTTACTCCCTAACATTTCAGCCCTTCGGGCCAGAATTCAAGGGATTAAATCATGTTCGGGAAGCCCTTACTCTTCCGTTGGAGGCGGAGCTGGGAAAGAGATAGAGAGAGAGAATCTACCTGTTTCACACTCACATGCCGAGAGTAATTTTACTGCGCAGTCCCATCGCGCAGAGGGACACACAGATTTACCCAAACACATTTACATTGTCGATGGTGGGGGAAGTCATCTTCTCCGACTGAAATGTTAGGGAGTAACCACTGTATGTGCGCCAAAAAAATCAGTGCCAAAGTGTATCGGCGCCAAAAAATAACGCACCGTGCTTATGGAACGATTACATTCATTCATCGTCTTTACAATTCAGTTTTTTTTGCATTTGCATTTGAAAATTTAATTGAGTAAAAATTGCTCACCACTACATTTAATTGATGGGGAGCGGGCGAAAGGTACTCCATGTTAGAATAATATGACGAGTAATTCTGATAACACTGTTGTTGAGAGGCTGTGGTGGTCCACGCGAGCCTCTGATGATCTCCAGGAAATGTTCCACCATTTTCCGTTATTGCTGGACTCCAGATACTACTGCTGCTACCACCACTGCTGTAGACTGTTCCACCCAACTGCAAGATATAAAAAATTATTGTTTGCACTGTTAGAAATTTTTCGAAATTTCATTAATAGCTGCTCTCAAATTCTCAATTTTATCAATTTAAATTTCATTTATGATCAAATCGTTCATAGAATCTCTTATTCAGTTTTGAAATTCGAGAAAATTGGGGTTTTCATGTCAGGTGGGCATTGATATTTCAATGACAGCTAGAGTTCTCAAACTCATTGTGAAAATTAGGTATCACATTCAATTGAATTCTCAATGGATTGGAAAAGCAAAAAAATAATCGTCTGGATATGCAAAATTTTCAATAATTTCCATTGTCAATCATTTCATTGCCATCAATCTTCCGATTCTTCAATATTAAAAGGTTTTCCGACTTACATTGATCAAAGTCTAAAATTGCTAATCAAAGTTTAAAAATAGTAAAATAATTGATAATCTAAATTTCCGATTGATGATGAATTAAATATTTAACAATATGGAACTGTAAATTTTCTATCAAATAAATAATACTAAATTTCTTAAAAGGGATTTCTGATCATCCAAATAATCGTCAATCTTCCTAACTCAACAACTGATTAATAAATAATTCAGAATTTGAATATTTAAATTGATGATTGCTTCAATAATTACAATTTAAGAGTGATATTAACTAATTGACTATTAAATAATTAATAATTATAATTAATGGGGCTATCCCTGGTCATGCGGGCCTGAAATTACAATTTCGTTGAATATTCCATAATTCAGCTGATTTTTCAGTCACAGAGTATATCGAAATTTCATGTGAATGAGTCGTTAAAAATTTCAATATTTTTTTTTTGAAATTTCAGAAGTAATTTTATAACAGTGCCAGAGTTGCACTGATACCTAAAAAACTATGTGATGTGTTGAGTAAAAATCTTTGCATATGTTTCGACAAAAGGAATATAAATGCTCGTAAAATTGTTCATATAGAATAAAAAATACTTCTATTTCATTCTATTATATTTTTCCTTTTTTCATTTAAAAAAATAAACCGAGGGGCTACTCGTTCCCTGAACTTTATATTTGCAGAGTCTGTACTTCATCTTCTTTATTATTTATCATTCAATTTTCAAATGGTGCTACGTCTAAATTATTCGGAGAATCTCAGACTCAGATTAGATTATAAATCGTTAGTCCTGATATATATATTTTCAAATTCGTCCAACAATAGGCAAGAAATTTGACTTTTTTCATTAATTTTCGGTGGTAATTAATCTGTAATTTTTTATTCCTCACATCGACATAAAATTGTTCACAGAAATTATTCAGGACATAGATGATCTCTCCAATATCAAATGTACAAAATCTTAAGGTCTCAGTCAATTATTTGACTGCCAAATGACCTTTCGAAATTTCGTCGGTAAACTGAGGGAGTATCGTTTCCTCGTCCGTAACAATTTACATTATTTTCAAAAGTCGATAAATGAGAAATTTGTCGATAGCTTACACTGGGTGGTGTGGTACTAGCAGCGAACAACAGGCCGGTGGCGCCACCAGCGGGTTTGTATTGCGGGGAGTCCCTCAACAGAGTTGGTGAACTTGCAGCGGAGCCCCCGGTACCGCCGCTTCTACCGGAAAGACATAAATCACATAATAATGTTTCATTAATTGCTGAGAATGATGCATGAGTGTTGTCAAGAAAATATAATTTTTTTTGTAAATTCACGAATATTTTTGTAAATTACAGAGAGAGAAAAAATGACGACGAAAAATTGTTTTTTTTTTTTTTTTTTGAAAGAAGATGATGTACTCGAAACATAAGTAGTTTGAAATAAGAATATGTTGGAGTTATTTCTTTCGTTTAAATTCATTATTCAATACGAAAGCCTCTCTAATATTCCTAATTCATTGAGTCGAAGCTTCAGGTATTTTGAGTCATTTTTTCATCGTATCACATGAAAAAAAACGATTTCTTGAGACGAAAAATTCTCGATTCATCGTTAAGTGCACTGTTAAAAAAAATTGGCTGAATTTTTCGGAAAAAAACCTTGAATTCGATTAAGGAAAAAGAAGTCAATGGAATTTTAAGTTTCTCTGAAAATTAAAGTTAAGTCCCATTTTTTTGTGACAGGAAGACGAAAATTCCTCAATTGACATGAATTTTCATGAATTTTCATGAAAATTCATGAAAATTCATGTTTTTATGAACATTCATGTAAATTGAGAAATCTTCAGCTTCCTGAATTTACATGAATTTTCATGAGAACATAAATTTACATGAATTTTCATGAAAATTCATGTAAATAAATTCAAGGAAATTCATTAAAAATTTTTGAAATTCAAAGAATTTTTCAAGGAATTTCCTGAAAATTCAGAAGAATCTGGAATCCGACGAGTGATTTCTCTGAATTTCCGGAATCAGGATTTTTCCTTAGTTTTCCCGGAATAATTATACCAAAGTTTGCAGTTCTAACGGATTTTTCCATGAAATTGTGAACAAAATGGCTCAAAATTTCAGTGAAAAATTTTTAACAGTAATGTTCAAGTCATGACTCATTCTACGAAACTCTCGTTAGTTCCCAAGAGATGCTAGATTTGGCTGAAGAAATAAGTTTGGTGATATTAGGTCGTTTTTTCTCTCGCAGTACACCCAATACCCTAACTAACAAGACGGTTGATGCACTCGAACCGCAACTTGGAGTGTTCCAGCTCTAACAGGTAGGTAATTCTAAGTAGAGATAATCTTCGGGGTTAAAGTCCGACGTATATCCTGAAGCCTCAGGATTTTTCCATTCACAATATACACAGAGTATTACCCGAGGCCCAAGACCACCTTCAGCGAGGAACTCGCCCTTCTTTAGGTCGATATTCCGTGCAGTTAATAACAAAAGGGTAAATGCCGCGGCTTAAGCATCGAGAACGAGAAAAAAGGTCTTGTTAAGAGAGACGAGAGTGAATAGGTTTTGGGTAAGGAGAAGCCGAAAAATGAATTGAGGATGAAAATATTTTTGAAAAACAAACTCACAGTGGTGTCGTTGCTGGAACAGCCGCTGATGATGTTGGGGTGGTTGCTATCGAGGGACTCTTGCCGGCTGTGGGATTGCTCACGGGGTTGCCGGACGGCTTTTTAGATCGCGGGGCTTTCTCCTGCGCTTGTTGCTGCTGCTTCTGCTGTTGTCTACATTTTGCGCGACGATTCTTAAACCAGACCTGCGGGAAGAGAATTGAAATGACTTTGAGAGAATTTCTTTGAAAGTCTAGTAATAATTGCATTTGAATTTTTAGTGTTGAGAATTTCGATTTAAGAGAATTGTGAGGGGAGACTACTATGAAGTTTAAAATTCGCGGGAAATTAGAGTTAGATTGCGCATGCATTGAAGATAGATTATGTATGTGTAAGAATGAATAATTAAAAAAAAAATTGATTATTGTTCGCTTGCTCCGCATACGCTTCAATTTTAAAAATAGTCCAGGGCCTCCAATTTTTGAGCTGCAGAGGTTTTTTGTTATCAAAATTTTTGAAAAAATGTGGACGATAATAAATACGAATTAGTTTTTTGAAATTCGACTCCTACAGCTGATTTCGTTTTGTTCAATATGAAATATTGCGTCATTCATGTAAAATAGGCAAAGGAGTTATCCTTAAAATATTAAACATATATTCTTGATTCTTTCAGAAACATTTTTTGGCCTATTTTACATGAATGGTCAAATTTGTTGTAAAAAAAAATAAAATTAGTGTAAAATTAGTGTGTACAGTCGAGCATTAAAGTTCGTGAACAGCCTGAACTTGCATTCTATGTAATCTGTTGCGAACTTTAGTGCTCGACTGTACACTGTGAACAATTTTCGTCTGAATTTTCCGTACCAAATTCCGGAAATTTATATCGTGTTCAAGTTCCACTGAAATTTCAGGAAATCTTGTCATTGAAAAATCAAATGTTCCATTGATTTTCTGTTCAAATGATCGGGAAATTAATAAAATACTTGATTTTTCAGTTCAATTATTCTGTCAAAATTCAGAAAAATCAGGAAAATTCAGGAAAAATTGAAAATTCATGTCATTTTGTTTCTGAATACTCATGTTCCACTGAAAATTCAATCAAGTTGTGAAATTTCGATCTCATTCCCTCTGAAATCTCATGAATTTCCGTGAAATCTACTTAAAACTTGAAATTTCATAACCATTCTTTCCCTCAATCCGATTCAATGTCACTCTTATGAGATTTACTATGATATCTTCCATGAAATTTCAAAAATGTCTAGCAGTGTAAGAATTGAATTTCAAAAAACCAATTCGATGCAGTGATCGGCATCAATCATTATTCCAGAAATATTAAGAGAATTATTTCCCCAAATAACCGAATTCATTTGTTTATCATTGGAACTTGGAAAATAATCAATAATTGAGAATTTAAATTTTTTCAATAACTATTAGGTGAATAATTGGAAATTTTCAAAAAATATTAGAGATTATCAAATAATCGTCATTCTTCCGAATTCGATTATTGATTGATAAAATAATTCGGAATTGAAATATTTAATTGTTGATTAATTTAATAATTGAAAATTGTTAAGTTCTATTACTTGATTGAATATTTATGAAATTAATGGTAATGATAATTTATGATTATGCCTATCTCTGATTCGATGACTTCGACTTGGTATTTAAAAACATCCACGACTTTTGAACCAAAACAGAATATTTTTCCTCATTGTCGAGTGATGAGAGTAATTCCTCCAACTTCACAAAATTCCCTTTTGTTGAAAAACACGAATGAAGGAGAGCCGCTGGGAAGCCTTGTGCGATCAATGTGAGACGAGTGTGACAGGCTTGGGTTTCTCGGGTTTTTATTTCTGGGGAGCAGCGCTATTCTAACCACGACTCTGTGTATTCGTTTTTACCAGAGTTTTTCTTCACATCACAATCGCAACGCCGAAGGCTAACCAATACGCTAGGTTGTACTTGAATCAAGTAGGTGACGACTTGATTTTTATTTTCTTCACAGAAAAAACGAATGTCTGATTTGTCTGAATTTCAAACACGAATTAAGGGGAGACTACTATGAGTTTTAAAAGTCGTGGGTTATTGGAGTGAGACTTTTCATACGTTGAAGATCGATTATATAGATTTAAAAACGAATAATTAGTGCAAAAATTTTTGAAAAATATTGTTCGTAACTCGTGAAAAAATGTTTTTTAGCACTCGCTACGAAATATACTATTTTTATTTTTCGTTTGCTCAAAAACGCTTAAAATGCCAAAGACAGTCCAGGGCCTCCAATTTTTGAGCTACAAAGGATTTTTTTTTTCAATATTTTCGGAAAAATATGTAGAATAACAATTACGAGCTATTTTTTTTCAATTCGCCTCTTACATGGCTAAATTTTCTTTTTTTGTATTTTTTTACACAAATAGTGAATTTTTTTATATGAAAAAAACCGAAATCTATGTAGAAATCGAATTCCAAAAAAAAGGGCTCGTAATTGTTGTTCCACACATTTTTCCGAAAATTAACAAAAAAAAATCTTTTTTAGCTCAAAAATTGGAGGCGCTAGACTGTTTTTAGCATTTTAAGCGTTTTCGGGCAAACCAACAATAAAAAATTTTTTTTGCACTAATCATTCGTTTTCAAATCTATATAATCGATCTTCAACGTATGAAAAGTCTCACTCCAATAACCCATGACTTTTAAAACTCATAGTAGTCTCCCCTTAGGATGTTTGGGCACCTGTTCGTCTGAAATTCAGACACATTTTCATTTTATTCAGACGTTTTTTAGTGTCTGTTGAATGTCTACAAAAGGTGTGTGAAATTCAAATATTCGTTTTTTGCTATATTCAAATAATCTAATTTTTTATTCACAAGTTGAATTTTGGATTAATTTATGATTTAGTTATCGTCATTCTACTTAGGAGAAGTAGAATATACTCTACAGCACTATTAAAAAAATGAAATTCCATGCACAATTTCGTAGAAATATGAAGAACAGCGGAATTAAGGTTCAGTTTAGGGAGAAAAATCATGAAATTTCGAATGTCACGGAAAGTTCAATGCGATACCAAATTTCTCAGCGGCACGCGGACGAGAGATCCTAAACTTATTTGAATTTTTAATAAAAACATCAATACGTCAAATGTCAGTACCAAATTACGCAGAAGTCGTAAAAAGTTTCTACAATTTCTATTCATTTTCATGGAATAATGGCACTCAAATAAACCATTTCCATTAATTTTGTCACCATATGATGGTCTTCCAAACACGAAATTTTTTGAAATTTCAATGAAACTGTCACATAATAATAATTTATAAGCAGTATATACCGGAAATTTAATTAAAAAAATCAAATTTACATTAAGAATGCGTAAGGATAGCCAAGTACATTGGCTATTTTTTCTCCAATGAAATGCTTGTCTACTTAGAACATTAGAGCTTTCATTTCCGCTCCATTTGAGCCAAAGTTTCCGGACAATTTACAACGATTTTATAATTTAAACTTTGCAGGTTTGAAATGGAATCTCGATATTGAACCGCTATTGAAGAAAGATTGATGAAATAATTTAAAAAGTGCAATTTTTAAAAATTACGAGTATTTACTAATAATAATAATAATAATAATAATAATGTTATTTCGATGGCTCTAGGCCTTTTACAGGGCGAGTATTTTGTATAAAATACGGAATCGTAACAAATTTATGCATATTTAGAATTTTATCAGAAATCGATTTCATCGCCAAAAAAAAAGGTTTCCGAAAGTTTAAACAATTTCAATTATTTATTTAGAAACAACGAATGTTTAAAAAATAATAATTCTGTGCAAAATGTAATTGACAAATTTGATGATGCAAATGGTTTGGTAGCGTGTGGTCTGTAGAAAACTGTATAAAAGATACTGGGATATCGTAAAAGTATTGAACAGTGAGTATCAAGCCTGGAACTACAATACTTTAATCATAACTTTTTTTACTGCTCAAACCTAGAAACCCAGAGCACCACATTTTCATCCAACGATATTCTTGAAAAACGATCGTAAAAAGAAATTGACGTTGAAACGTGCACAAGACTATGAGATTGTCGCTATTCAGTTCAAGGCCAGGTGTCAGGAGAGGCGACTAATTGCAGAAGCGCCCGGTTGTCCCGGCGGGACCGTTTTTGATGAGGGCGGTTATATGCGCAACCACGTCTCGGACTCATTTCCGAAAGGCCACTGAGGCAAAAACTAGTGTGACTCCTTGCCCCCATGGAAATCGTGGGGTGTCCACGTAGTGCCTCCACATAGGCAACACAATTATTTGTGTTTGGTTAGAATTTTTTTTCTCTCAACATCGAGTCTTTTCATTTTCGCTGTGCGTGTCAGGGTCAAATGCACGTAGCAACCATTGTCGGGAGCATTCCAAGGAGGAATAACTATTGGATATAAAACAAGTCAAGCACAATGGCGTTTCCCAGTGAAATTCGCCACTGAGAAAACGTTTTTATGTTCATGGAGAAAAGTTGGAAAAAAAATTACCGAACAAGTCAAGTAATCGTGGTGCGAACTCGACATGGAGAAAATTATTTGGTGAATTTCAACAACTGGTGTAATTTTTGCCGTCGATTTTTAGCGCTTTTTCACGCTATATTGGGGGAAAAGTGCGAGACGAATAGTAAATTTTTCTCCGTGGACCCGAAAAAATTTACTCAACGTGGGGGTAATTACAGCCGAAACTGTAAAATTAACCCGGCATTCTCAATATCCCGAGTGGAAATTGCTTCAGGCCCACGATGTCAAATTTGCCACGATTTTCTAGGCAATTTTTATCCAACTTTTCTCTCCGCCTATGAATTCAACATTTTCGACCATTTCAACATGAAGAATGGGCTCTGAATGGTAATAATTTTATAATTTAACATGAGTATTTGCATAATGTAGTAGGCAGTATTAATCGCATTGACATTTTGGGGACGTGAGGCAAAGGAGATTTTTTTGAATCTTTAATTCGACGAAATAAACAATGCAAATTGCGCTGTTGGAGATTTAATACGGCCCATCTTGCCCCTACTATTATATAATATAATCTGCACGTTGGTGACATGAGCTATGGACTAGTCGGATGAACCAATCAAAACTGAGCGGGAATTAGGAATTATGATTTTAGAAAAATGATGAATGAAGTCTATATCCTTTCTAAAAAAGGATCGGTAATATGTCAAACCGAAAATGAGACCTCGAACATGGCGGATATCTCGAATGAATGGAGAAAGGAAGGCGGTTTTCATGAGTACAATCGTGTTGCGTCGAATTTTCATGAAGCCGGTTCAGCAAACAAGAGAATTAAATGCCATTCTTTGAACATGAATAAACGAATTATAATTGTCCAAATCATTTAGCTCAGATGAAAATAGAATAATTCTTCTTTCGTAATTTTGCGTTTACTAAGGTTTTCTTCGAAGGAAGTTGATTAGAATCAACAGCTAGAATTATGAGACTATCTCACATTTTTGACGTTAAGAATAAGAGAATGTGAATGCAATATAGTGAAAATAATGATAGATTTTTTCATTCTGAACAAATGTGGACGTCCACATGAAAAGGGGCCAGTTTGTTGATTCTAGTTTCCGAGATATTCAGATTTTCGTGCCAGCAACTCCCATTTGCACCAATGTTAAATAGTTTTTTCATCACGCTGTGACGAAAAGTGAACTTTTCGGCAAGCTCCGCGTGCCTAAAAGTCCAATTTCCGCCACATTGTGATGAAAAATATTGTTCGTAACTCGTGAAAAAATGTTTTTTAGCTCGTGGGATTATATCACTCGCCTTCGGCTCGTGATATAAACCTCCCACTCGCCAAAAAACACTTTCTTGCACTCGTTACGAAATATACTATTCCCACATTGTCCAAGGACGTCATTTTTGACCTTATGAAGATAATTTTGGGCTCAAAATGTGCGGAATGTTATCAATATTATCAGAGTATACATAACACCACATCGACAAAGTGGTCCCCCTCATGCGGACATCCACAAATAATATTAATATCCAAATACAAAATTTCTGCTATGAATAAAAAGGAGCTGTGGCTCAATATTCCAAATTAAGTTTTAATTTTCATTTTGGTGCTGAAAACACGAGATGACAATATTCTTAGTACGGAATTATATTGATGAGATGAACACCAGATTAAATGAATTACCCTAGTAGAAAATCCAAAATTATAGCGTTACATACCTGATCAGAATCTGATATAACATGATTAGTGTCTGATCAAGATCTGACTAAAATTTCCATTCGGGTATCGTGTGAACTAAATAAAAATTGATAACAGTGTGGACGCGCACTTTTACCCGAGTATCAAGAAACATTGAATTCCAGAAATTCACACTCTAAAGTGTGTTCTAGAAAGAATAGAGTTGTAATTATGATTAAAATCATATTTAGAGCGCATAGAAATGAAAACATGAGCAAATCATTTATTGTAATATGAAAATTTAACAGCTGATAAATTGGGACATATGATTCTCATCGATGGTATTGCTGTTTGAAATGACAATGATTATAACTAATTAATTGAAAAAAGCAATAACGCATCTCACAGGAAAAAGGGCATAATGAAAGTGACATAGGGCGATTTATCTTATTTTAAAAACTTTAGTAACAGCTAATACTAATATACCAATGTTAAATTGTTTTTCCCACATTATCCAACGACGTCATTTTTGACCCTAGGAAGATAATTTTGGGCTCAAAATGTGCGGAATGTTATCAATATTATCAGAGTATACATAACACCATATCGACAAAGTGGTCCCCCTCATGGGGACATCCACAAATAATATTAATATCCAAATACAAAATTTCTGCTATGAATAAAAAGGAGCTGTGGCTCAATATTCCAAATTAAGTTTTAATTTTCATTTTGGTGCTGAAAACACGAGATGACAATATTCTTAGTACGGAATTATATTGATGAGATGAACACCAGATTAAATGAATTACCCTAGTAGAAAATTCAAAATTATAGCGTTACATACCTGATCAGAATCTGATATAACTTGATTAGTGTCTGATCAAGATCTGACTAAAATTTCCATTCGGGTATCGTGTGAACTAAATAAAAATTGATAACAGTGTGAACGCGCACTTTTACCCGAGTATCAAGAAACATTGAATTCCAGAAATTCACCCTCTAAAGTGTGTTCTAGAAAGAATAGAGTTGTAATTATGATTAAAATCATATTTAGAGCGCATAGAAATGAGAACATGAGCAAATCATTTATTGTAATATGAAAATTTAACAGCTGATAAATTGAGACATATGATTCTCATCGATCGTATTGCTGTTTGAAATGACAATGATTATAACTAATTAATTGAAAAAAGCAATAACGCATCTCACAGGAAAAAGGGCATAATGAAAGTGACATAGGGCGATTTATCTTATTTTAAATACTTTAGTAACAACTAATACTAATATATTAGTATTGGTTATTATTAAAGTTTTTTATATATTAGTATTTGTTATTACTAAAGTTTTTTAAATAAACTAAATTCCCCCATGTCACTTTAATTATGCCTTTTTCCCTGTGAGATGCGTTATTGCTTTTTTCAATAAATTGTATATAATGTTATTGATCTAGCAATCATATTGGGCTTTCATGAATTTACTCGTCTAATTTTCTACAAATACTCCTCTCCACCCATTCGCAAAAAAAGCAAAAATGGTCAAGGAATCTTGAACACGTGATAGTGAGCACGTGTATATCGAGTATCGCCTAATCAAATTAACTGACGGTCACCTGAAAGTAAAAGACTGTATATAGAGTAGAAGCTGAGTGTGAGCATCGATTTCTCATTCTCCGCGTGCCACCACTGATCGCAGCCCTACCCCCAAGGGTAACTTGAATTGTCGGAGAATTCTATACGTTTTCCACCCAATAACTAGTCGCCTTACATTTCTCGTCGTAGCTCGTGTTACGGGTAACTCGAGACGATGACAATTTTTTTGGTCTACGGGTTGCGTTATTCACTGCGGTTTTGACTTGTAACTTTGAAGGTGAATTGTAGGATACAATGGGTTTGAGTGAATGGGTGAGAGTTTTAGGATATTATGTAATAGAATTTTATGGGGGGGGGGGGGGTGAAGGATAAACATGATAAAGACGATGATCACGATAGCGGATAAATCGTAAATTTAATTGATGCTCAGTTTTCTCTTCATTCCCCTATTTATGCATTCGGCAGACAAAAAAACTATACGGAGGAAAAGTTGGGACAATGCTGGATCAACATTGGCAGTCACTGTTGGTCCAAACTGGGCGGAAAAAAGATGAGGACTGGAGCCGACAAATGAAGAGCAGAAAAATGTAGGAAACGTTGGGCCAATACTGGTTCAACCCTGGCATACAACATTGGAATGACATTGGCGCAACATTAGCCATCAGTAATGTTCCAACGCTGGTATAAAAAAGGTTGAAATTAAGACCGAGGACTGAAGAGAAACGAAATGAAGGAAAGTCGGGGCAATGTTGGCGCAGCGTTGGCGAGCAGCATTGGGCCAATACTGGTTCAACCCTGGCATACAACATTGGAATGACATTGGCGCAACATTAGCCATCAGTAATGTTCCAACGCTGGTATAAAAAAGGTTGAAATTAAGACCGAGGACTGAAGAGAAACGAAATGAAGGAAAGTCGGGGCAATGTTGGCGCAGCGTTGGCGAGCAGCATTGGGCCAATACTGGTTCAACCCTGGCATACAACATTGGAATGACATTGGCGCAACATTAGCCATCAGTAATGTTCCAACGCTGGTATAAAAAAGGTTGAAATTAAGACCGAGGACTGAAGAGAATCGAAATGAAGGAAAGTCGGGGCAATGTTGGCGCAGCGTTGGCGAGCAGTATTGGGGCAACCTCGACAGAAATAAATTAAAACTGGAGCTAGAGCTAGCAACAAAATTGAAGTAAAAATTGAAATTTTGGAAGATGCGAAAAACAGCATTGGAACGACATTGGCCGAACCTTAGCGACCAGTATTGGCCCAACGTTGGCATAAAAACAGTTAGAACTAAAATCAAGTAATGAAAGGAAACGAAACAAAGGAAAGTTTGGGGCTATGTTGGCTCAACCTTGGGACCCAATATTGGCCCAGTACTGGCCGAGCCTTGGCATACAAAAGTTAGAACTGAAACCCAGTAACAAGATTTTTTGAAGTATAAATGAAAATATTAAAAAATGAAAAAAAATACATTATTCATTGTTATGGCTTTCGAATGGATGTCGCGTCTAGAGTCAGCTTTCTGCCGACGTTTCGCAAGCATTTAATGCACCGGAGCAACCTAGCCCTGATGATGGAGATTGAATAATGTTGGCCGCGAAAGCCTCAAACCTCAAAATACAACATTGAAACGACATTGGCCCAACGTTAGCCGTCACTATTTTTCCAAAGGTGATAAAAAAAATTACAACCAAGACCGAGGAATGAAGAGAAACGAAATTGAGCAAAATTGGGGGCAATGTTGGCCCAATCCTGGGACCCAACATTGGCCCAACACTGGCGACCAGTGTTGACCCAACATTGGCAGAAAAAAGAACTGAGGCCCAACAAAAGAATTGAAACAAACATTAAAATTTCTAAAGATGAAAAAACTTTACCTGTACTCTGGATTCAGGTAAATTAATCTTCACGGCGACCTCTTCCCTCATGAATATGTCCGGATACCGAGTCTTGGAGAAAAGCCCTTCAAGTATATCGAGCTGTGCCCTACTAAACGTCGTCCTCTCTCTCCTCTGTTTTCTCGGATTACCTGTGAATAAAATAAAACCAAGACATTCCAATTCCCCTGGTAACATCAGCATCCGAGCAGTAATCAAGTGGAGATATAGTAATAAGTAAACAATTAATGAAACATATTCAATCACTCACAGTAGTACGACTCACCGGCGGGAGTACAACCGGGATAGCCGATGGTTCCGTGGAGTGCTTCGATGGGTGGCATGCCGAGTGCACCGACATAAGGGGATGATTTCAGGGCTCCGTATGGATTTGCGGCGGATGCGCCAAATCCCGCTGGGCCGAATAGATCAGTGGGTGATGTTGTTGATGCTGCTGTTAAACCACCAAGATCAGCTCCAGTACCACCGCCACAACCAGCGGCTCCACTGAGGCTGTTCGGCCACATTGCGACTGGTACCGCCACAGTAGTTATTACGTCTGGCAGACACCCTCGGCGATTATATCCTTGGATGGGCGTGTTTGGTCGGGAGTTTTAACTAGAATAATAGTTCATTTCATCAGGCTGGGGGCGAGATGATGTTTGGCGCAGGTTAGGCGTGTGTAAAACCCCACTTTTTATCCTTTCATCCTTTTTAAGGGGAGAACACTATGAGTTTTTAAAGTCGCGGGCTATGGAAGTGAGATTTCTCATGCATTGAAGATCGATTATGTATGTCTACAAACGAATAATTAGTGTAACAAAATTGAGTGTTTATTATTCGTTTGCCCCGGAGTGCTTAAAATATTGAAAATAGTTCAGGGACTACAATTTTTCAGCTATAGAGGTTTTTCTTCAAATTTTTTGAAAAAATGGGTACAATAACAATTACGAATTAGTTTTTTGGAATTCGACTCGTACATATCTAATTTTGTTTTGGTTAATATAAAAATTTGCGCCATTCATGGAAAATAGAAAGAAAATTTATCCTTAAAATATTAAAAATATATTCTCGGTTTTTTCAGAAACATTGTTTGGGCTATTTTACATGAAGGTTGCAATTTTTTATTTGAAAAATGACGGAGTTAGCTGTGTAGGAGTCAAGTTTAAAAAAATAATTTGTAATTGTTGTACACATTTTTTCAAGATTTTTTGTCTGAAATTTACGGTACACTTTTTGGAAATTGTTATTGAATTTAAAAGGGGTTGTTTAATTACCCCTTAAATTTTAGAGAATTTCGTCATTGAAAAGTCAGAATTTCGTGGAGAAATCAAAGGAAACTGCAAATGTTAGTTCCATTTTTCCCTGAAAATAAATAGAAAACCAGAAAATTCCAGTAGGTAAATATATTCTGGAACTTTCAGGACACTGAATGCGATTTAGGGGAAAAAATCATGAAATTTCAGATTCCACTGACAATTCTGTGTAATATGTAGCAGTGAATAGTCATATTAGATTGGAAATTCAAGTAAATTGAGGAATTCTCGTCTTTATGCTCCTTAAAATGATGAAATTTCACTGAATTTTCAGTGAAACCTGAAATTTCATGATTTTTTCCCCCGGAAATTCACGTGATTCGAATCGTATTTCTCTGAATCACTGAAAATAAAACAGAAATCCGCGCAATTAAAAAAAATTAAATCAAATAATTCCAATTGTTTCGATTTCACCAATAAAACACACACGAAGAAATTTAACCTAGCGAATTTGTTAAAAAATTCTATTGAATTTCTATTGAACTCTCTATTAGTTTTTGGCCGATTCTATTGAAATGTTCAATAGAAAATATTCAGTAGAAAAAGTCAATAGAATTCCAGTTTTCCATATAACTTATTCCCGTCAGATGTTTTCTATAGACTTTCCTCCGCTTAAATTTTCCAATTTTTTTTTTACATTTTATTTCCCTGTCCTTCTCGTCAAGAAAATCAAAGAAAAAAACTTAGAAAAATGAGCAGAGGAAATTCTACAGAAATTATCTCATTTTTTCTATAGAATATTTTCTACAGTGAGAGAAAAATCAGGCATTTTAGTGAACGATACGATTTTTTTTGTATGCGGCACATAACATTATAGTAACTTCACAAGCGTAATTTCTGCAAATTAAAATGCAGTTAAACTAACCAAAGTTCAAAAGTAACCACGACAAATCTATCGTGAGTAGAACTATAAAATAGTTGCAATGACTACATTTCATTGTAGTAATTGCTTCTCCGGCCATAGTTACCGTAACCCATGAAAAATTGTTGAGGAGTTTTTGACTATAATTCGATGGTGATGGAATATAGTCAGAAGAATTATACTTTTCTCTCAGTGTATTGAACATTTCAATAGAATCGCCCAAAAACTAATAGAAATTTCAACAGAAATCCAATAGAATTGTCTGGCGAATTTGCTAGGTTTTTCTATTGACCTTTTTCATCCGTGAATCCTTACTTCCTCAAATCATCTAATAACATCATCACAGACAGAATTCTGCACGCCTCATCTGAAACGACACGGATGAGAGACAGCTGACGTATCCGACAACCGTTTGCGGATAATCTATAGACGCAACTCGACGCCTCCGAAGTTCTTTCTCTCGCAGCAGCAAATTATAAAAGAAGAGTTAAAAATAAATGCACGACACACACATGTGAGGCATGAACAGACGCCACCACGAAGTCGAAACCTAAGACACTGGCTCGTCCCACCAACTATCGCTCCTTCAGCTTTTAAACCGTCATTTATTATCCTCTCATATTACAGATATGCCGTTGTTCTTCAGGGGCCTCCGCATTGGTCCCTCCTGTTACGTATTTTTTTTTATGAACGCATCTGATATCTACGTTGAATGGAAAATGGCTGGATGTACTGTTACATCCCACCCACTGGCATTATCGTTAGCCACCTGTTTTGGATTAAGTGCGACAATTTAATTGAATAATAATTAATGTCTGGTGGTAAGTGAAACACAACAGACCTTGGGGGGAAAAACACACGGACAATTGGAAGATGTTAATTCCTATTTGTCAGCCATCACTCTAAATTCCACGGGTGGTGAATCAGGGATTATTTTAGTGACGTAGCGCGCATGGGACTGATGATGAAAATCGTCATTCGAATGCTTGAGGGAGGAAAATTTGTTTGTTGAAGAATACTTTGCAATACACGGAGAGAAATTTTCTAGAAAAATTCTAGTACGAGTACTGGAAAAAATTACGATCCACTGGCTGTGAACAATTCTAGTACTGTTAAGGTAAAATTTCTTGATATTTTTGATAAAGATTCTAGGGATTTCTGTGAAATTTTCACAGAAATACGGGGAAAAATTCACGTTTTCCTCAATAAAATTTCTAGTGTCGGCATCGGAATTTTTTCTTGGCCGTCACTTTGCGCCTCTTTTCCCATGCTAGCACTAGAATTGTTTCAAAAAATTTCTCTCCGTGTGCTTGGTTACTTTTGAACTTTGGTTAGTTTAACTGCATTTTGATTTGCAAAAATTACGCTTGTGAAGTTACTATAATGCTATGTGCCGCATACAAAAAAAATCGTATCGTTCACCAAAACTGCCTCAACTATTATTGTAAATCGAACTGCAGATTTTTCTCGCAGTGTACAAGAGCAACTGCCCACTTGTTAGATTGCAACGGAATTCTCATTAAATATTCCGAATTCTCGTGCATTTTAAAACGAAAGCGTCGAACATTTGTCCTCTACTCATACCACTTGTTACTACATATAACGCACGATTGTCTCCAATAAAACTCCACCCGCAAAAAAACTCGAGTTCTCTCTCCCTACTGTAATAATCCATTGTTTCAGCCCTCGAAAACTCGCAGCATTGAGAATTACAAAAAAATGAGTTTTTCACGGCTGGTTGAAGTTAGAAGTATTCCCTCCTCGTTCCTTTTCTTCTTGAGTGAAATTCTCTGACGCTTTTATGATTGTGCACCAATACAAGGGGGGGGGGGAATAGGGAAGAAACAAGGGTTCTACCGCAAATGTGGACCACCCACTCGATAGGTCGACAAGAGGGCACTTGTGGCGAGGACTACAGACGTATGGGGGACCCCTGGGGGTCCTCCCCACCCGCGCATATAACCAATCGATTCTACTATCTCTCTAGGGCCTGTCCTGCCTTCATGTAGGTAAACACTTTGTGTTACTCATGGGGTATGAGTATACGCCACCATCCCTAATGACTGCTAAATCCCTATTATTACGCTCTTGTACACTTATGAAAATACAGGCACATATTGCGGAGGAGTTGATATACATCTTCGCAATTGAAATGCACTGTTAAAATTTTTTGTCTAAATTGGCTGTCCCAAATTCCGGAAATTTTTATTGTGTTCAAATTTCACGGAAATTTCAGGAAATTTTGTCGTCAAAAATCAAATATTCCATTGATTTTCTGTTCAAATGATCTGGAAATCAATAATATACTTGATTTTTCTATTTAGTTATTCTGTAATAATTCAGAAAAATCATGAAAATTCAGGGAACAATTGAAAATTCAATCAAGTTGTGAAATTTCCATCTTACTGCCATTGAAAACTCATGAATTTCCGTGAATTCTAATTAAAACTTAAAATTTCATAACTATTTTTTCTCTAAATTTGATTCAATGTCACTCTTATGAGGTTTCATTGATTCCATTGATTTTCTGATCAAATGATCTGGACATCAATAAACTACTTGATTTTTCCGTTTACTTATTCTGTGATAATTCAGAAAAATCATGAAAATTCAGGGAACAATTGAAAATTCAATCAAGTTGTGAAATTTCCATCTCACTGCCACTGAAATCTCATGAATTTCTGTGAATTCTACTTAAAACTTAAAATTTCATAACTATTTTTTCTCTAAATTTGATTCAATGTCACTCTCATGAGATTTACTATCATATCTTCCACGAAATTTCAACAATTTCTAGCAGTGTAGGAATCGAATTTCGAAAAACTAATTCGATGTGTAGCCTCCACATTTTTTCGGTAATTTTCCTCGCATTTCATTTACGGAATGTGGTTATTTATTTATTTGCTCTGCTCAAGGAACTACACAGAGAGAAAAGTTGGGTAAAAATTACCTCGAAAATCATGACAAATTGTACTATATCAATGGTAATCGTGGAGCGAAATATAATTCAGTGAAAAATTAGTGGTTTTTAGTGGATATCTTACGATTTTCTAGGTAAAAAAATACACCTACGGATGCAAAAATTATCCCCCTGTTTGGTAAGATTTTCCACACCGACAGGGGATTGTTTGTTTTGTATTTGTCTGAAGGTCATGGGGCTGGACGGAAGTGGATTTTTGCCAAATGGGTTCAGTAAAAATTATTCTCTGCTTTAGAAAAATCATACGAAAAATTGGAGCAATCATTCACGTTCACTCGGAAAATTTTTGATGGGATACAGGGTACATTTTACAGTTTTGGTACAAATCACTCTCACGTTTGGTAAATTTTAGTAGAATTCGTTACGTAA